AAAAAAAAAAGCCACCTTTTGATAGGTGATTGGGTGGGTTCTGATATAAATTTTTGTCATAGAGTTTGTTTAAAAATATCTATGGAGTACTTACTGTGTGAGAGGTAGCACATCATTCTCTGTGGTCAGAATGCTGTATGAAACAGATCTCCTGTATAGTTGATACATGCTATGAAGGGGAAGTACAGGTGCAGCAACAGGGTGCATGACCTTAGGGAAGATATCCTTAAACATCTGGGCTGAGATGTGAAGGCTGAGCTAGGGGCTACATAGGCGAAGAAGGGAGAAGCGGGGTCCTGGGAAAGGGGAGCGGCAGGTATGCTGGGGAGGCTCTCAGAGGCGGCTCTGAGCACAGGAGGAGTGGGAATTTCAGGCCACAGTGTCTGGCGTGCACAGAACCAGGGGTAGAGGGACTGGGATGAGGCTGAGGGATAAGGTGGGGAACAAATGACAGGCAATAATTGTTGCTTTATTTTAGGCAGATAAATGACACACTCAGATTTCGTATGTGAAATGATCATGCTGGTTACGGTCCAGAGAACAGATTCTGAGGGGCATGGGTAGAAACCGGGAGACCAAGTTGTGGTAGCTGGCCAGTCAGGAGCAGTGGGGCACTTGCACTGGGGAGGCGACAGTGAGATGGAGAGATGTGGACACCTTGGAGAGAGATTTAGCAGGTGATTGACAACATTTATAGTTTTGGAAAGTGTTAGCCTTCTTCACAGGAAGGATCCCCTCATGATAAAGCATCAGTCATATGATTCTAGTCAGAGCCCTGATTGGTAGATCAGAAAGATAAATCTTAATAATGGTTCACACCACTCTTGGGGCTGGACTGAGGAATGGTGCTTTGAAAGGTGTTTACTGAGTTTTTACTAAGGAAACAGACTATGAGGTATGGTCAGAAAAACCACCAGGGCCCATAGTTTGCCCCATCTGATATCAGTGAAGTTCTAACTAGAGTAAGCAAATGAACAAATTAAGATGCTTGCACTCAACTTCATGTGGTACTGATACTTGGACCAGTACTTACTGATTTTATGTATTTATTTTTTGAAATTAGATAGACACGTAGGTATGTAGGTAGGTAGATACATAGATGATACTGGGTCTCACTCTGTTGCCCAGGCTGGTCTCAAACTCCTGGGCTCAAGCAATCCTCCTCCTGCCTCAGCCTCCCAAAGTGCTGGCATTACAGGTGTGAGCCACCATGCCTGGCCAATGGCCAGTACTTTACTGCAGAAGGATATTGGCATTTCAGTCCCTGGTGGGAGTGGGAGGGTGGGGAACAATTAAAAATAATGCCAATCCACTTTTCACATTTGATTCAAAGTTATTATTATTATTTTTTTGAAGTAAGATTCAAAATTTTTAAACCTTGCATTACAATTTCATTTCCTAATAGCTTGTCTTGACATATTTGATTTGTAGCTTCTGTTTATTATCTCTCACAGTCTGCTTTTCCTCTTTGGAGTATTGACAAATTTTCTAGCTGTTGAAATATTTCTTTCCTAATTACTTTGTGACAAACTAGTGAAGCAGAATCTGCTTCTAAGACATAGCCTGGTGTGAAGTAATTAGCTTACCAAGTAGCCTGATCTTTTCTCATGTGAATCCATTCAACTACCCAAATAACAGCCTGTGTCACTGTTGCATATTGAAAGCAACCCTTAATGTGATTCTTTTTTCTTTGTTGTAAATCAGCAAGAATTTATGCTCTTATTTTTATCATTCCTGCCAACCAAGGAGTTAAATATTTCATAAAATTAACTTGGATGCACATCATTATAAGATCTCGCCTATTTTCAACAGTAGTTAAATGATGTATTTCCTTAATGTTCTATATATTAGAAATTACCCTAGTAACATAGTTAAGACTTATGTTTGTGATAGTGATGGTTAATGTGGAAAATTACTATGCTATAACATGAAATGTCCAGAGCACATACCCTTCAGCCAGACTACTGGGAGTTCAAGTCCCTGCTCTTCCATTTATCAGCTGTATGACCTTGAGTAAGTTGCTTAACTTCCCTGTTCTTGGTTTCATCACATGTGGAATGGGGATAATAGAAGTACTGGGGTTGTCCATGTATAGAACTTAAAATACCTCAGCATGATGAATGCCGTAAGTGGTATATCGAAGCAAGCTGATTTTGTTGTTATATTTAACAAGCACAGAAAAGCCAATGGGAAACACCGATTACTATGGCTATAGGAAATGTTCTTATATATTCTTTTTGTTTCTTCCTAGCTTTTCCTAAGCCCAAGTGGGACTGTCAATTATTTGATTCTTATTCTGAGTCATTGCCGGCAAATCAACAGCCTCGTGACTTGAATCGGATGGAGGTGAAAGATCTTCATATGCGAATAAATAAGGATGTGTGTGGAGTTAAATCCATTAGCCTATGTTCTTTACGAACTCTGGAAAAGGAACTTTCCTTTTGTTTGAAAATGAACTTTTATAATATTTTCTCTTTATACTTGGAAATTATTAATACTTTGATGCTCAGCCTTTTAGATCTAGACACCAGATGTATCTATAATTTTTTTCCCCTTTTCTCCCTAAAACTGGGTGTGGTAAAGTAAGTAACATAATCTCTAGACCTTCTAGAGGTAACATGTAGGTATAGCCAAACTAAGCCAGAAAATTCTAGCCAAGTTATTTACTTTAACCAAGCTTTAATTCCCTGGTAAACAATTTTAATTGTATTTTTTATCAGCTGGGCATTAATACGTTATACTGAACCAGAACTGTTTTGAGAGGAGGTTTGAGAACTTTATATGAGGGACCCAAATCACATTCGGAGCTCCCTCAGGGTTTTTAGCTTTTGGACCAAATGAGGACTGATTTGGATGATCCCCAAAAGGAACTCGGAGAATTCCCCCAGTGTTGGGCCATGGATGGGAGAGCTTAGCCAAGTGCTCAGGGAACCTTAGCTATGGATCAATAAATAGGAGTTGTTATAGTTATTGCTGTCATCACCACTGTCATAGTCGTCATCATCACCATTATGATTACTATGATGACAACTTAGGATACCTGCTGTTCCCTTCCTTAAAAGACCTGGAAATGTTTAATAAATGGAGCTTTACTCACAGACTCCTATTAGAGTCCTCTGACCCAAGTTGAAACCACTATAAGATGATAGAAGTCAAAGGCAGGGAACAGGGACATTTCTTTAATTTCTTGTGACTGTGCATGATGATTTATCCTCTTACATGAGTCCCTCATGCCTGTAGCATGTGTTATGGATGGCACCTTCTGCTCCCCTGCGAGCCAGTCAAGCCTGCCTCTCCAGTGCCCCTCTAACATCTCTCTTGACACTTTGCTCCTCTTTCTTTGAGTTGTAGCCTTCCTGGTAGTTTCCTCAGATTTCTACTCATGGGAAAAAGATATAAAGAAAAGTCATTTCAGGAGGAATGACAAATGTGCATTTGAAGAATTTTGATTAAAATTTTTTCTTCAGAATGCATACGACAAAGAGACAGATAAAATAGTTTGCCACTTTTCATGGCCCTCAGCTTACTTTGGTGCTTCTAGCAGTGTTTGAAGAGCTTTATCAAGCGAGGATGGTTATCTCTATAGCTCTCTGACTCCGTGTGTGTGTGTGTGTGTGTGTGTGTGTGTATGTGATGGCTCCTCTGCTTACATAAAATGATGAGGTTATTACTTGATCTTCCTTAGAATGGCCATAAAATTTGTTACACACACACACACACACACACACACACTCACTCTCTCTCTCTCTCTGATGCCCTTGATGACGTTACATATATTCACCTTTGTGGACATTATATGCAGCTAGTTTCATATACTTTTGTGTATTTTAAGTGGTCTCCTTGGGTAGGGGAGATTAAAAACTAGTCTTTTTTTTTTTTTTTGACCCTATCCAAAGAGAAAGCAAAACAACGATAAAAACTACCTCTTTTCCAACCAGATTGTTATTTTTGAGGATGGTATAGTTTTAGACAATGAATGCAATAAACAGAATTCAAGGACAAAGTAATAGGGTTAATTGGTGGTTTGTCCATTTGAGAAGTATAGGTCAAATTGTAATAATTAATGATTCAATATTTCATGTTCTTCTAAACTATTACTGATTGTTCTTTCTACTGGTCTTTTCATCTATCATGAATGTGTGGAGTTTAACTAGGTTTTGGAACCAGCCCTCTGATCAATGACTCCAGTATAGGTGCTTGTGTTCTGAAAAAGCTGCAGTTGATTTAGGTCTCAGGTCATGAGAAATTGGCATAGTGAACATCTTTTACTAAAGACAGCAGAGCTATAACCATGTGCTTATTTCCATTAAGAATTATAGATGATAATTTCAGGTATATTCTTCTTTATGAGTGTCTCTTAGATTACTGGATTTCTTTCTTTTTCGAAACAGCTTTATTGATGTAGACTTTACATACCATACCAATTTAAAGTATATAGTTCAGTAATTTTTACTATATTAATAGTTGTTCAGCCATCACTGCAGTTTAATTTTAGAACATCATCTGCCCAAAGAGAAACCCAATACTTATGAGCAGTCACTTCCTATTTTCCTGTCTCTGCCAGCCTCTGATAATCACTAATCTATTCTCTGTCTCTGGATTTGCCTATTCTGGACATTTCATATAAATGGAAGCATATAGTATGTAGTGTTTTGTGACTGTCTTCTTTCACTTAGTATAATGTTTTCAAGGTTCACTCAGATCATAACATGTATCAGTGCTTTATTCCTTTTTAATGCTGAATAATGTTCCATTGTATGGGTATGCTACATTTTGTTTGTCCATTCATCAGTTGATGGACATTTGCATTGCTTCCACTTTTGGCTATTGTAAATAATGCTGCTATGAACATAGATGTACAAGTTTTTGTGTGGATGTGTATTTTTGGTTCTCTTGACTATATACCTAGGAGTGGAGTTGTTGGATTGTATCATAACTTAATTTAACTTTTTGAGGAACTATCAAACTGCTTTCCAAAGCAACTACACTATTTTACATTGACACCAGCAGTGTATGAGGGTTCCAGTTTTCCCACGTCCTTGTTAACACTTATTGTCTGCCTTTTTGATTTTAGACACCCTAGTGGAATGAAGTGGTATCTCATTGTGGTTTTGATTTGAGTTTCCTAATGACCAATGATGTTGAGCATCGTTTTGTGTGCTTACTAGCCATTCGTGTATCTTCTATGGTGAAGTATCTAAGTCCTTTGTCCATTTTGAAATTGAATTCCTTTTTTTTGCCTAGGATTGTCTTGGCTATGCTGGCTCTTTTTAGGTTCCATATGAAATTTAAGGTGTTTTTTTTTTTTTTTTTTTCCCAATTCTGTGAAGAAAGTCAGTGGTAGCTTGATGGGGATAGCATTGAATCTATAAATTACTTTGGACACTATGGCCATTTTCATGATATTGATTCTTCCTGACCATGAGCATGGAATGTTTTTCCATCTGTTTGTGTCCTGTCTTATTTTCTTGAGCAGTGGTTTGTAGTTCTCCTTGAAGAGGTCCTTCACATCCCTTGCTAGTTGTATTCCTAGCTATTTTATTCTCTTTGTAGCAATTGTGAATGGGAGTTCACTCATAATTTGACTCTCTGTTTCACTATTACTGGTGTCTTGATAATTTTAGATTTGTAGTAATTTTTGAAATCAGGAATTGTGAATCATTTAACTTTGTTCTTCTTTTTCAAGAATATTTTGCTATTCTGACTTTTTTGCATTTCTATTTGAAATTTAGGACAAGCTTGCCAAATTCTGACAATAAAATATTCCATTGAATTTGTAGATCAGTTTGGAGAGTATGGCCATCTTACCAATACTAAGTTTTCTAACTCATGAACATGAGATGTCTTTCCATTTATTTAGATATTTAATTTCTTTCAACAGTTTTTTGAGATTTCTTTTTATCTACATTGCCTGCTCCTAAATTATGTTATTCTCCCAAGGGGTCTGATTTATAATGCAGGGGGGAGAAGGCAGTGAAAGAAATGCATTGTTATGATACATTGTCTGTTCTTTTGGAGATAGACTTCGAATAGGAAATTATATCTGGACACTTCCTTTTAATGTCAAGAATTACCTAAGTGAAGACTGTTAAATCATAGACCAGTTTCCTACTAAGTAATACTTCAGTCTCTTTTTCCGGAACAGTTTGAAAACAAAAGTATTGCTTATCTCTCTGGGGTTGTTTAGGTTCTGAGAGGTAAACCATTAACTTTTTGGAACACTAGATGGCTACTCTCCTTCCTTGAAGATAAATGTTAAAATTTACCTTTGATTTATGACTGTTTTAAATATAAACAATATCAAAAAACATAGGATGACAAGTCCTTCTCCCATCCCTTTCCTTCATCTACCAAGTCACCTTTCAATTTTTACATATCTTTCCAGAGTTGGTGTATGAAAATAAAGCAAACGTGAATATATATTATTCTTTAACTGAATCTTGTCATAGGGCTTAGAGTGCATATTCTTTTCCAGCTTTGAGGTATAATTGACAAAAAGTATATATTCACAATGTTTCGATCTATGTATATATTGTGAAATGATTATGGCAATCAAGCTAATTAACATATCTGTCATCTTACATAGTTACCTTTTTTGATGTGGTGAGAACATTTAAGGTCTACTCCATTAGTGGTTTTCAAGTATACCATACATTGTTATTAACTATAGTTAGAATGTGTGTTAAATTGAGAATTTATAAGAAATAAATCTATAGTAAGTAGATTTTATTACCAGTTAAAAAAACTCATACTTGATAGATTTGGGTATTCATATTAGTATAAGTGAGGACTTCCTCTATATTTGCATTAGGAGAAAATTTTAATCTGTTCATCAATAAAATTCTTCTATCCCACAAGAACGCTGTTATGTTCAGGTTTAGACACCATCTGCATAACAGATCTTGGCAAACACCCACATTGTGGGGCCACTTGTCAGAACTTCTTTGTGTTT